GGTATTTCTTTATAGTCCCAGGCAAAATAATCCCTATACTTCTTCAAGAGTCTTATCAACTGAGCTTTGAAGCTATCATCGATCAACGCACTTATGTAAATAGGTCGATGTTCATTGCCTAGCCCAAGGTTGACCTCTTGTAACGGGTCTCGAGTTTCAATTGATTTTTCAATTTCTTTTATAGGTGACTCTTCAAACTCGAGGATTCCATCGACAACTTCTGTGGATTGTTCTGCGAGCTCGGCCTGATAGGCCGAGTACCTCTCAATGAGGTCTTTTGACAATATAAGGTTCTCCATGGACAACCTCATTCAATTGTGCTGCCAGTTGACTCTTTGGGACCCATTCAACGATCCCTTTGTCGGAACGGCAAAATGCAATACTATTGGGGTCAACGAGAGGTGGCTTACTGATGGATATACTGTCTTCCAATGCCAATGCATGTGTATAGGTTGTCTGTGACTTGGTGTTTGCTTTGACGTATTCTACCTTATCTCCATTCCAAAATGCTAGCATTTGATGGAGAGTTGATGGTACGCATTGATTACCATGGATCCAGTCTCGGCCCAATAGCAAATTGTAAGATCCATCTGCATTAACCACACAGAAAGATGTCCCCGGAGTTTTGGTGCCAACGGTCAAATCAGCAATGAAAATTCCTTTAACTTCGGAGATTTCTCAAGTAAAGTCGGACAATTGGATGTTCGACGAAATAATCTCCTCGTCATGCCTTCCCAGCTTCTTGTAGAAACGATATGGGATGAGATTTAGTGTAGATCCCCTGTCTACTAATACTCGAGACACAGGTCGGCCATTAACTTTTACGTTTATATTCAGAGCCCTTAAATGGTTTGAACTCTTGGGTGAAGGTTTCTCGAATTCAACCACCTCCTCCATATCAAAGTGAAATTCTGCTTTTTCTTTCTCTTCCATTGTAATTTCTTCCATATGACCTGGCTCCACTGTCATAACCCGTAGGTTCGATGGACGACATACTCGCACCATGCAAGAACTTAATGACGAGATTGATCTTGACAACTGTCGTGGTTCACATCGTGCAGGCTTAATGTCTTGCTTTGGTGAAGATTGCTGAGGTCGACCAGATGTCGACACTTGAACTCCTGGTTTTCTTTTCCAGACTAAGTTTCTACGTTTAGGGTACTTTGGCTTGACCTTTTGTTCTGCGATTAAGGTTGGTCTAGCCTGCTTGATGTGAACTTGACTTACTTGTTGTTGGAGCTGATACTCCTTTCTTTTCCTCAGCATTCTCCTTTTTTGAGTCCGCGTCAGATTTGAACTATGATTTTGAGTTCGGCGGGCCTCATACCATTGACCTACAAGTGGGTCTCTTGGCACTTTCAGAGTTTGTCGACGTGGTGGATGAGGGTCTGTGCAAAGATCATCTTGATCAGGGAAATTAGAACCCCATCCACTTGGCTCAATCTTCCCATTGTACGAAGGTGGTGGAGCATAACTAACATAATAATCATATTTACCACTAGGCTCTCCCAAAGTACAAATAGTCGGATTACCTTCTTCGTACCTTTGCTTGAATGACTTAATAGTCTTATTACGGCTTCGGCGGCCTCTATGATGATTAACACCCCTAGGAGGAGTTTGTTCATCATATGAATCAGTGAGGACCAAATCGCGAAATCCGTCGACAACTTCACTAGGCGGACGTCTTCGACTGTTGGAGTGATGTTTGTCTTGTTCCAATAGTCGTCTACATTTTTCGCAAAAACGATACGGCTGATGCCCCCTGGTCTTTGTCCTTAATGACACCATCCCTGCCATTACAGGAAAAAGGATCGACATCAACTTCCATCGGGGACTTACCTTTGTCTTCAGAGAATTTTATCTTCCCTTGCTTAATAGCTTCCTGGACGTTTCTTTTAAACACAAGACAGTCATTGGTGGCATGGCTCCATGAATGATGCCATTTACAGTACTTCTTTCCTGCTAATTCTTCTTTGGTAGGTATAACCTGACCCTCCGTGAGTCTGATCTGTCCGTCGGCTAATAATAAGTCAAATATTTCCTCTGTCTTATTGATATCGAAAGAATAAAACATAGGTTCCTTAGCTTTGGACATGAGGTTGGACTTTTCTTTAACTCTTGCTGGCTTTAGAGCCTTGCAAACGTATGGCTTATCAATCACCATTTTAGCGAGAGCCACATCTGCTATATCTGCTGACTCAGTTTCATCCTCGCTCTCGTCAACGTCAGCCCAACGAACTTCACCCCATCGACCATACCTTTTGTCCTTTTCCTAAAGGAGACTTTCATGCTTAGCAGCTATGGTTGATAATTGGAACAGATCTGAATATGGTTGTCCAACCATTCTTTCTCGGGTTTCAAACTTCAGTCCATTAAAAACGAGGTCCGCAAAAGTCTTTTCAGGTAAATGGACTAAACACTTATTCCTTGCCCTTTTAAACTTGGAAACAAACTGATCGACAGATTCATTAGCTAATTGTCTCATGGTCGATAGATCTGCTACCGACAAATCTGGCACAGCTCTTTGAAATTGGCAAGGGAATAACCTTTCCATTTGTTCCCATGATGTGACCGAATTTGTCGGTAAGGCAGTATACCATGTAAACGTGGTTTTTGACAAGGATAAGGGAAGTAACCTCAACTTCCAATAATCAGCATGAGCCGCATCACCACATTGAGTCAGACAATGATTAACATGTTCAAAAGTGGACTGATCTTCCTTTCCAGTGAATAATGTAAATTCTGGCATTTTAAAACCTCTTGGATATGGTATAGTGTCCATCCAATCAGGATATGGTTTTCTATAAACGTTTGGGAAGTATCCCATATCATGGCCATATCCCCTCATTACAGGGTCCACTGCTAACTGATTTTGCACTTGACCCACGACAGGCGCAGGAGCTACAACATAATTAGGTGGCAATGGCTGATTCAAATTTTGATGAGGCAATTGGTAGAATGGCTGCTGTGGTAACTATGGCTGTTGTTGAGGTGGTGGGTGTATTATCTGTGATACGTTGTGAGCAATCATATGTGGGTTGGCCGGTGGGTTTAACTGTGCTGGCAATGGTTGCTGGATTACATTTGGACCCATAGGGGGTGGAAAATGTTGATTTACATTAGGCACTGTGGGCTGGGGTGCCTGACGTTGTTGTTGAATGTTCATCTGTTGGATCTGTTCTTGCCCCCTAAGCAAGGGTGTTGCAAGATTCTGAACATCTAAGACTACAGGTGGAGGATTTACCTGGATCACAGGGGGACCATGCACCTGAGTAACCTGATGTCCTCTTTGGAGGTTTTCATCGATCATCGACTGTCGAGCAATTCCTCCATTTGGGTCCACGCTAGCGTGAGGTAATCCCTCGCTGGATGCTATTGGCAAAGTTTCTCCCCTTGGTAATATTCGAATGGGTGGGATCGGAGATGTACTTTGCATCATTGTTCCAAACTGTATTGCAGGACCCCCCGATACTGACGGAGATCCTGTTCTCAGTTGGGCTAGTGCGATGGACCCTCCATGTTGACCTTGCGTGCATTCATGATAAGTGTTAATAATCAAAGGCCTAACCACTTCAGTCATACGCCTTACCACATAATCAGCGAACTCGTTCTGAGTTTCTTTGATAGTCCGCCTCATGGTAGAAAGTGCAACTGGTGTGAGCTCAGTTTGCCTTCTATCTTCAACACGCTACCTCGACATATCTGTGACCTCCTCTCGAGATTGGTTAGCAACCTCGGTATGAAGAAGTTGAGCGGATGATGTCTCAGCACGGGCATTATCTTCCGCCATCGATGCAGCTTGCTCGTCAGTAGTATTATCCGAGTTGGTTCTACTCCGGGTGTGTGGCATAGCACTCTCTCTACTTAACTCAATAGGGTTCCCACCGGACGTGCCAAAAAGATGTTTTGCCGGTTTTTTACTCCGTCGATAATCTTTCACCGAACGTTGCGTTTTGGATTTTATTAGGGGAGACTAGGGTCTTGAGTTAAGCTTGGACAGAGAATGTCAAATGCGTTTATTAATCCCAATTTAGATCTTACACCCTGACTCGATATGATACCAAACTCGACAATACTAACAATGAAACGACAACTTGCAAATACCGAGACCAAGTTATGTCGGAATCTAATCAACGACACAGCTAATATGCGGTATTACCATTTAAGGTACGCCAGAATCTAATCAATGACGTAACTTGAGAGAATATGACTGGAATCTAATCAACAGCTATATTCCAAGCACAACGCCGGAATTTAATCGACGACGCTGAACTAATGGCACAACATTGGAATTTAATCAACAATATTGAACCTGATAAAGACTCTTGCCGGAATTGAATCTACGACGCAGAATCTGAAAATTACAGCTAAAACTACTCCTAATGTGCTAAAAGTAAAGCTTGATAAAAGATATGTTGTGTTGTTTGCGAAAAAGGGTCTTTTCTTTGTTGGAAATCCTTGAGTATTTATAGAGCAGCTTGATAACTGTTGACCGCACTTCTCCTTGAAAGTCGTTTTTCACTTCCTTACGTTTCGCGTTTTAACCGCTTCCTGACTTATCGATATTGCTTACGCTCCTTGGGCATCATGTAGTAGCTAATTTTCTTCCACGTGTCTCTTTATTTCTTCCTTGATCTTCACGCCCACGGTCATATCTTTACCTTTTGACACGTGTAAATGAATTTTCCGCCATGTATTACCATGATTCCGTGCAAAGCTTGTTCGTCGACGTCACGTGCAAAGCTCGTGATCTTAGATTCGTCGACTTCACGTGCAAAGCTCGTGATTTTGGATTCGTCGACGTCACGTGCAAAGCTCGTGAATTTAAACTTGTCGACACCTCTATGACGTGTCCTGTCGATAATTACCTTAGGTCTTCTTAATGCCTCTGGGCCTGACTTGCGGCCTTTTTTGGATTTTCGCTATGTGGGCCGTACTTTATATCTTTTGTAACTTGTAAACGGCCCACTCCCACCAAGGGTAATTTTGGGTGTCAACAGGTAGTAAAGAGTAGCGTAAATTCATCACATGGAACAACTTTTCAATGCAAGAATTCTGCCTCTGCCTCTGGTTCTCCCATTTTTCTTTTCTTTCTTTTGTTCTCTTTGAATGGAGCAAGAGTTCCATCGGCAAGACAGTATCTCAAACGAGAGTTAATTTTTACACACAGATTCGACTGCAATTGGGGGCGTAATATTTTTACACTACACTTGCTCACTGAAATGTGCTGTGAACGGGGGCTTTCACGGTCAGCGAATGCGCTTATCATTTCCTTACATGGCTGCATGATCTTGATTATAATAACTAGGAATCTACTCAGAGACTGCAACTTTTGTACAAATGGGTCAGAGACAGATTCCAACTGTGAGCAGTTGCTTTATAAGGAGGAGAAAATTGACAAACTTCATAATCTTAGTAGTTCATTGGCCGCGCTGTGCTTCCAATATTGCACAGATACTTTAATTAAAAGCTGCATCTTGATAGGCAGCCACTTTCCCAGATAAAAACGGAAGTTTATATTATGTTCCTTTCAGGACCACTGGGTCAAATATTAGCACCGAAAAATGAAAGGCCATGTCCATGTTCCTGAGTCACCTCAAAAAGTTAGTGACCAACTCACCTTTCAAGCCATGGTTTCAGAAATTGTTTTGGAGATGTTGAATGTGCCTTCATCCTCTGCAACATCAAAGTCACAAGGTGAGAGGACCCTTTAAGTTCCTTTCGAAAATGTTAAACGCAAACTCGTTTCTGTAATCTGTTTTGTTTTTACGTTTTACCTATGCAACTGATTCAATGTATGTTCCTTTCAGTTCCTTGGACATGAGTGTATATCATCCCGGGACGGTTCGAAGTTTCAGAGGTTTGTCCGAGGACCAAGTATAGCCGGGAGCATCGAGAAGGAATGATATGCTCCAGCAATTGAAAGCATCGCCAATTTCATTGACGATTGCATTGCAATTGGAAGAGCTTTGACACAGTGTTCAGGGGGCTTCCGTGATGCTCATTGTTTAATGCATCAACAGATTGGCAGCGATTCTCTTTACTGTATGCTAGCAAGCTAGATGATACTCAATTTATCACCTAATTTTTCCACACTTTTTGCAAATCTTTTATAAACGTGAGGTACTTTGGACCGGTACTGGAGACTGTAGCATGAATTGATCACAAGGAACAACTTTTCAGTACAAGGATTCTGCCTCTGCCTCTGCCTCTGCCTCCTGTTCTCCCATTTTTCTTTTCTTTCTTTTGTGCGCTGTCAATGGAGCAGGGAGTTCCATTGGCAAAACATGTCTCATGCAAGGGTTAATTTTTGCACACGACTTGGCTGCAATTCGGACCGTAAGTTTTACGTATCATTTGGGAGTATCAAAGTCGTGACCCATTTGAGACTCCACTCTATTTTAGGGAGTACTAAAGTAGTAGCGTGGGCACTACACTGATTGACTTAAAAATAAAGGTCCCGACAGCCAGGCTTCTATCAAATTTCCACCCCAAAGTAAGGGACATACTTATACTGACCGAGGCCCGTGATGAACCACATGCAATCATGGTCAGTAAAATTTGTGGAATCTGAGTGAAAATCACGTCACTGACAGCTGTGGTCAACCCTGGTCCATGAGGGATTGTGATTGGACCGTTTGAATATGTTTTAACCGGTCGGGATTCTTATTTTCCTCGTAGGTACACTTATCTGGCATATCATAATAAATAATTGAATAACAAATTTATTTTTTCTTAGACAAGATGTTCAATTCAGGCCAATATCGAATTGGTTTCCTAAATCCTAAATAAAATTCTTTACAGGACAATTTGGCTTCCATCACATAAGATGTCAGCAATAGCAATCCTCCCCAAAATAAACGTTGATGTATATACATCAACATTAGCAGTGGCTCCTGCAGCATATATGGCCATACAAAAAGTCTGCTGAAATAGTTTGTTATCAATAAATAATTAAGATAAGAGAATTGGACATGAAAAGAAGTAACTGTTTTATATGAAAGGAAGCGATAATTGACATGAAAAGAAGTGATAATTGATCTGATTAGTGATAATGCTTCCGATAATGTACTTATTTTCAAGATGTGTCGTTTATCTATAAATAGGACCGAATTCACATATTGTTTAAAAAAAAGAACTTTCTCTTGTTCATAATTCTCTCTTATCTTTTATCATAGAAGTTTGATGAGACATTTAGGGTGAAATTCTAAAAAGAAATTGAGTAATTACTGAACACGTTTTTCCGTGATTTTGGTGTATATCTTGGAGGTATATTTACTTTAAACCTACAACAACAATAGAAGGGCAAATAATATCTTAAGGACATTGATTGTCATCACGCGTCGAAGCATACCATCAAAGAACTATAAACTACTGCTCCTATCTTTATCAGCAATCAAATTTCCCTCAACAGTCTCTTCCATAGTCAACAACATCAAAGAACTATAAACTATTACTCTTATTTTCATGAGCTATCAAACCTTCCTCAGCAGTCTCTTCTAGATTCTTTTAGCAAAAAAAAAAAAAAGTCTCTTCTAGAGTCAATGTAAAAAGACCGGTGTAATCAGCTTCGCTGTTCAATGACTATTGAGTCGAGCTCATTTACTTCGGTGCTCTGCATAGTATATATCATTATGATTGTTGGATGATCTTAGGCCTCTTTTACTCCAATAGTTAGCTCAAAGGGTGAGCATGAATTCACGTGGTTACGTTATGTGGTGTGACACATAGAATATCATTAGTGAAATTTTATTTGGCTCATTACATAGAATATAACCTAACATGATTATAATATGGTATAATATATAATTACATAAGTATTTTGCATTGATTGTATAAAAATATTATTAATCATTATCATAGTATGAAAAATAATCAATTCTATATTACGTGCATTAAATAGAGTTTTGCCAATAAATATGATTACTAAATGCTTAATGAATAAGGTTAATATTAGGACAAATCCCAAACCGGTACACCTATGACAAATTACTCCAAACTAATTTTTTGACCACTAAAAATCCAAAACTAGTACATTTGTGACAATTTTACTTTCCGTTAGTTTTCGTTAAATTTTACCGTCAAATTTAAAAGTTTGATAACACTTGGTAATTGACAGGTATACTAGTCCAAAGGTTTTACCCTCCGTTTGTCACAGATATACCGGTTTGTGATTTTTCGTGGTATTAATCCACTTTTAACGGAAGGTAAATTTGTCACAAATATGTCAGTTTGGGATTTTTGGTGGTCAAAAAATTAGTTTTGGGTAAATTTGTCACAAGTATATCAGTTTGGGATTTTTTGTTGTCAAAAAATTAGTTTGGGGGTACATTTATCATAATTGTACCAATTTAGGATTTTCGTGATACTAACCCTAATGAATATTAGAGGGAAAATGCTAGCTAGGTTTTGTCCGTGGCTAAGAATATAGATGCTTGTAATATCTTACTACCAGAAGAATTCTACACCTCCCTTGCAGATCGCTGAGAGTAAAAATCCCAATTACAAACCTATTAAATTTCTCGATTCATTGTCCGTGGAAGAAGGGAAACGATTCTATCATTTAATTTTTTTATTCTTTTTATGCTAGAGGACTATATAATGCCGCCATTATGATTATCCCAAAAGAAAACGACGGTTATCAAACTGGTTTCATTAACGAGTACTTTGAGAAACTTATATTGAAAATGACAAACTTATATTTAACAATTGTTTAAAAGTGTCCTTTTAACATAATCCTTATTAAAATAGGTATAGAATGTGCTTGGCCCCTGATTTTCAAGGTTGGGAAATCCACATGACTCATTTGTGTATAATACATTTTTTCGAATATTCATCTAACCGTTTAAACTTTTATAATAGTTGGTATGCATTTATATTGATGGTTGAGGGTTAAAGCGACTAGGAACAACATATGCATTTGAGAGAGAAAAATATAATGCAATGCCCCAAGAGAGTAACATTTTGCTCCCCAAAATTGCGCGAAATTATGCGATAATAACAAAAATCCACTGACCATAACAAACAAATTTTCCTTTCAAGCGATTCTATTGAAACCATTTATTGTCCAAAAGTATTAAATGGGCAAAATTCATTGACTATACTTACTGCTTTCCACCTAAAGGCAGCATGGATGAAGTGACTTTAGATTTCAAGGTGAGTAGCTAACTAATTGTGTATGACCAAAGAAAAATTATTTAAAAAAAAGGAAAAAGAAAAAAAAATGTGCCTCTAGTACCATTTTAATGGAGGAATTTACATTCCCCTATATAAAGAACTTACATTTTCAAAACATCTTACGGGAGTCTTCATTCCCAAAGAGAAAACCAAGCCAAGCAAAAAGCAGACTCATCACATTTCAGTAAAAGAAAATGGCCCTCAAACTCAGTCCGTTTCTCACTTCTAAACCCAGGAAGTCACTTTCGTTTAAGGTTTGCCTCCTATCGCCAAGTCCATGTCCTCCAACAAAAGTGAATTTTCAACATTCCCTTCTTCCATTCACTCCAGCCCCCACAATACGCGCAGATGGCCAGGCAAAGTCTTCAATGACTACTTAGTCAAAAAGATAAAATGAAGAAAGAAAAGCGCTTCAATGACTACTGAGTCAAAAAGGAAAAAAGAGAGGAAAGAAAAGCGCTTCAATGACTACTGAGTCAAAAAGAAAAGAAAAAAAGAAGAAAAGCGCTTCAAAAAGCTGTCCTGAAAAAATAAAAGATGAATCGACACCTTCTTATAAAAAAAATAAGAATAGCGCTTCAAAATTGACACCCCACTCCTGTGAAGCTCTTCAAAGTTGCCAGTAGCACTGATCCTGCCTTTTTGTTTCTCAAACCTACCCGCTTCATTGGGCTTTGAGTCATGAAACTCCTGGGCATTAGTTTCGCAGAGTTTCAATCATGCCCCTTGCTTCTTTGTATTGCTCTTGCACTATGCCTTAACCAAGTCTCCTCCAACACCAATGAAACAGACAGACTTGCGCTTCTCACATTTAAGGCCAGCATAAACGAAGATCCCTTCGGCGTGCTCAACTCATGGAACGATAGCATTGGGTTTTGCCAGTGGTATGGCATTATATGCAGCCGGAGGCACAAGAGGGTCACGGTCCTCAACTTGCAATCACAAGGACTCTTCGGATCGATCTCTCCTCATGTCGGAAACCTCAGCTTCTTAAGGGAAATGTCCCTCCAAAACAATAGTTTCAACCAAGAAATCCCTCCACAGATCAGCCACTTGCGACGCTTGCGTATCCTAAGATTGCACAACAATTCATTGGTCGGCGAAATTCCCAAAAACATATCGGGTTGCTCTAACCTTGTCAGCCTCGTCCTTCAAATGAACCAACTAATCGGAGAAATTCCTGCAGAGCTTGGTTCATTGCCGAAGCTACGACAGCTCGCTTTGTCTGGTAATAATCTGAGCGGGAATGTGCCTTCCTCCTTTGGGAACTTATCTTCACTGGAGGTCCTTTATTTAGCCCAGAACAACTTGGGTGAGAGCATTCCCCAAGTTCTAGGCCACCTGACAAACTTGCAAATGATTTCCTTAGGAGCAAACAGATTGTCGGGTACAATTCCATCTTCCTTACTAAATCTCTCTTCGCTAACTCTGTTTGATGTTAGAGACAACCGGATAGAGGGGACTCTTCCGGCAGACATAGGCCTCAAACTCCCACATCTTGATATTCTTAGTCTTATCAGGAACCAACTTGAGGGGACGATTCCTCCCTCGATATCGAATTGCACAAAACTAACTACGCTTCAAATTGGAAGTAACAAATTTTCCGGGAAAGTACCATCTTTGGAAAATTTGTATAAGCTTGGTTGGTTTATAATCTCTAATAATCAGCTTGGAAGCGGAAAACCTGAAGACTTGAGCTTCCTTTGCTCGTTGACTAACAGCACCAAATTAGAGGATGTGAATTTCAGCTTGAACAAGTTTGGTGGGGTGTTACCTAAATGCCTAGGTAATTTATCCACCACTCTCAAGGTATTTTCTGCAACCATGATTCAAATATCTGGTGAGATTCCAGAAGAAATCGGGAATTTTGTCAACTTGGAGGTATTGTTTTTGAATTGGAACCAACTTTCAGGTGTTGCCCCTTCAAATTTGGGGAATCTACAAAAGTTAGCGCTACTGGAATTAGGTGATAACAACTTGGGAGGGACTATCCCATCTTCTTTGGGAAATCTAACAAAGTTGATTCAACTATATCTTAATGGGAACAACTTTCATGGGCAAATTCCTTCACATCTATCAAACTGCTGGTCTCTTAATCTTCTTGATCTATCTAATAACAATCTTAGTGGTGCCATACCCCCACAGCTTATCGGTCTCGCATCATTAGACATCATTCTGGACTTGTCTCGTAACCATCTTACTGGAGTTCTACCCACAGAAGTTGGCAACTTGAGAACTTTGACTGCATTGGATATCTCTGACAATTTGTTGGTAGGTGAAATTCCAAGTAATTTAGGTGATTGCACTGCATTGGTATCACTGAGGATGGGGGGCAACTTCTTTAATGGGTCAATTCCGCAATCAATCAGATTGTTAGGAGGTATTGAAGAACTAGATCTGTCACGCAATAATTTGTCAGGTCAGATTCCAGAATTCTTAGCGGCATTTCGTTCCTTAAAACTTCTGAATTTGTCGTACAATAAGTTTGAAGGCAAGCTACCACGTGAAGGAGTCTTTAAGAATGCTACCGGTACTTCTATTGTTGGAAACAACGAGCTTTGCGGCGGACTACCACAATTTCACCTTCCCAATTGCATTTCCAAAAGCCACAAAATCAAAAAGATCAATATGGTGATAATTTTCACCTCTGTTTTTTCTGGAATTCTTGGAATGGCTCTTATTGCAGCTTTTATATATCTTTGTTGGGTGAAGAAGAAAGTAAATGAACCGGTTTCAAGTTCAATGGATGATTCACATCTGAATTTATCTTATGGGACACTCTTAAAAGCAACAAGAGGTTTTTCTTCGGCAAATTTGATTGGTGTTGGAAGCTTTGGTTCTGTTTATAGGGGGATACTCGAGGACAATGAAATGGTTGTTGCTGTGAAGGTGCTTCATTTAGTCTGCCGTGGTGCTCTTAAGAGCTTTATAGTTGAGTGCGAGGCATTAAAGAACACCAAACATCGAAATCTTTTGAAGATACTAACAGTTTGCTCTAGTAGTGATCATCAAGGAAATGATTTTAAGGCCTTAGTCTATGAATTCATGGACAATGGAAGCTTGGACCAGTGGCTACACTCGTATGCAACATCATCTCATGGGAATGAGCTTCCGAAAAAGTTGAATTTCATTTGTAGGATAAATATTGCTATTGATGTTGCTTCTGCACTAGATTATCTTCATCACCAGTGCCACATCCCGATTGTTCATTGTGATCTAAAGCCAAGCAATATTCTCTTAGATGCTGAGATGGTCGCACATGTTGGCGACTTTGGATTGGCGAAATTCCTTCTTAAATCTTCCCTTGATACTATGAGCTCAATGGGCCTTAGAGGGACAATTGGTTATGCTCCACCAGGTAATCTCTCTCTCTCTCTCTCTCTCTCTCTCTCTCTCTCTCTCTCTCTCTCTCTCTCTCTCTCTCTCTCTCTCTCTCTCTCTCTCTCTCTCTCTCTCTCTCAAACCAAGAAATTTTATATAGCCAAAAATTATTGATCGGCCTTCCTGTGTGAAGTTTGGTAGCTAATGATAACTCGATTTGATGATCTGCAATTTAATTTGATTTGCACTGTGATCAAAATTTGTGGCAGAATATGCAACGGGATGTGAGACTTCAAGAGAAGGCGATGTCTATAGTTATGGCATTCTCTTACTTGAGATATTCACAGGATTGAGTCCCATTGATGACACATTCAAAGACAATTTGACTCTTCATAGTTTTGTCGCAGAAGCTTTGCCTGAACGAGTGCTAGAAATCACGGACAGCTTTTTGCTTCAAGAAAGAGAGAGCCATTTAGGCCCCTATAGTCGTCGTCATCGGCTTTCCGAAAGCGATGACACATTTCAAGAATGTTTGGTTATGGTGTATAACATTGGAGTTGCTTGTTCGTACCAAGTGCCAGGAAGACGGATGAGCATTGATAGAGTTGCAAATCAGCTGCACCGGATTAGGGAGAAACTCTTTGCATTGGGTTTACATGGATAAGTTGAACCACCGATAGTTTAATTAGCTATCATACATGTAATGTCTTTATTAATACCATCGATATAGTATTATTATCGATAACTTAAAATGAGCATAGCTCAATTTCAATCAATACATTGGGAAGTTTGCAATTAGACAGATTATCACAGTAGGCTAGCCCAAGCTCAAGGTATTTTTAAGTTGCGTCTATCTCTTACTCTCGGTTCTTCACTTTCTCTTTTGACTTTTAGGGCTTGAGATCAGACTTTAATCTGATTTGGATGAACAATAGCCTTCAGAGTCATCTTGAATCTTTTCATCAATTTCGTAAAATTACAAATGACTTTGATAGAACTCGAAAAAGGGCCCTTTTGCTTCGGCTTTGACCAAACAGGGCGTAACCGGAATGTCAATTAGCTCTTCTAACGTGAAGACGGGTCATTAAGATATGATTTTCCTAAATTGGGCTTGCCCAATCTGATAATAGGGCCCAGGATCGGCCCATCAGCCCAATTATCAGTTTCAGTCTCCCGGGATGAACCGTCATCGTCGCTATACATGAACTTCATGTTCTCTTGCATTCGTCTCTTGCATTGGTGGAATTTTTTTTATCTTGTTAGGCCTTAATGGTTTAGATCAGATGAAGCTAGAACCTTGAGAAGAGTTCGACGACTGGCCACATGGATTACTCGCAATTGGAACTTCTGGGAAAAGTGATTTCAGGGGAAGCCGGGAAAACCAAGATCTCTTGGAGAATCAATTTCATTCGACAAAGCTACAGAAAGAGCTACCCAAGCTTTTGTCCCTTAAAAACAAGCAGCGAAACAGACAGACAAATCATGGACCTCACGCTGAATAGACTCCTCAACTGTCCCTCGAGTTTGGAGGTGGACCGCAGAATCGGCAGTTTGTTCCACAGTGACTGAGATGAATATGATGATGACGAGATTGATATTGAGCGGACCGACAGCGTGATAATTTGTAGATGCGAGGAAATTCGCGAAAGAGTCATTATCTTTCCTTATCAAGATGTTTGTCTGCAGAAGTGGATTCGTGCCAGTACCCACTTTGGGAGGTACACTTCTTAAATCAAGGATGCAGAAGGTCCATACATGGTTTTGAGTTTTTCTTTGATCAATATTTGAAGGTTCCTGCATTAAAACCGCGAATTGAACTTTACGGTCATTAGAAATTCGTGGATTATGGATATTGTAAGGCTCTTTAGTCTGTACCACAACCTCGCACACCAGTTTACTTTCCAAGACATAGCCTCCCCTACTCATGATCCAATTTCATGTTTGTCTAAGTTGCGGTTTAAGTTGTCTCCCAGATGTCATATTTAGTTAGAGATTCTTGCAAAGCCTCGTCTTGTACCATCATATGAGAATGAGATGACCTTCGTTTATCCTTTTACTCATTTTATTGTCATATTCTTGGGCTGTTTCATTCTCAGCAGAAAAGTGTCATTGTAAACTAAATCAAATTAATTAGCTAACCCTTCTTGTTCATGGTACAGCTACTGAGGAAAATAGTTCACCAGAAAAATCTATCCCCAAAATGCATCTCGACCAACGTTGATAATGAAATACTTGGAGGATAAATCAATGCCATAATTATTGGTCAAGACAGATTCTGACTGTAAGTAGTTGAATTACAAGGAGGAGTAAATCGACGAACTTCAAAATCTCAGTAGTACATCCACTCTTAGCTTACTTGCTCATTGTGGTGCTGCCACTTCCAGTGCGCTGTATAAAAGTTTCAACCAAAAGCTGTGTCTTGATCGGCAGCGACTTTCCTAGACGAACGGAAGTCCTACATTCAGGGACCACTTCTGTCAAATATGTTTACTGAAGATGAAACAACATGTCCACGTTCCTGAATCAAGCATGGCCATATATGCATGACGAATAACAAAAACCTAAAAGAGTTAGCTGACCAATTGATCTGTCAATCCTCGGTTTCAGATATCTTTTTGGAGATGTAAAATTGCCTCATCCACTGCCTCCTTAAAATCACATGTGAGAGGACTCTTATACTGCAAAAATACTTCCATATTTAACATCATCTAGGAAACTCGTACTTAAACTGAGGTGAGAGCGCAGAGTGAGCGAGGGCAAGATCGAGCAAGGGCGAGAGAGAGCAAAGAGAGGATCATAGAGATGGGTCTGAAGAAGTGGTGAACTTATTTAACACCCATATTATTTTGAGTTTTACCATTCTAAATTCATTTATGATTCATTTACTGATTATAACTAATTCATATAATAATTTAGCTCATCAAATATAAATTAAGAAATAAGTCTATTGTCACGTCACATCTTCTTTCCGCACCACCGAGAGCCCCTCCCTCCGCCCCCATGCGCCACAGCCTGACTCTGATTGCGCTTGCTGTTAAATTATTTACGCACGTCATCTTGCTGATTTTGTGGATTCGGCTGCACATGTTTTTATCTAATGTTCGGTGGCGCACGAGATGTGTTTTTTGCAAGTTGCGCATGGGTCTCGTTTAAGAGAAATCTGTTGAAGACAAATGAGACGGAACTTTTTGACTAATGCGCAGCAGAGTCTCCAATTTCTTTCCCGCGCAGGATTTCCAACCAATTAACATTATAAGGAGTTGCATGAACCGAGAAGATGAATTCTTCTCTGCACACATAAATGAAGGGGGCCCCACCTTTGACAATATCATTTAACTATCAAAAGGTGTGGGCTTGTTTTGTTTTATTAATTCATTTCCTCTGGCAAACGAAAAGAAGGGAAGACTTCTTCATGCGTAATAAATGGGTGCGGACTCCTCTGTGTATAACTACCAACGTCCGTTGGCCCAGGTGGTAAGGAGCCTGGGGTCCCTTAAGCAAGTTCTCGAGTTCGAGCCTTGTGTATGGAGCAAACGGCCTTGGGAGAGCCACTCCTCTTATGGGTCCGACAGTGCTCGCTTCCGGATTTAGTTAGGATACCCCGGATACCGGAAGGTCATAGACCAAAAAATAAATAAAAAAGAGCTCATTGTGAGTTCTCAAAGCTAGCACGAGAAAAAAATAAAAAAAGAGAGCTCATTGTGAGTTCTCAAAGCTAGCACGAGAATTGTGCATAGAGTACTAAAAATACTTAAGCGTGAGTGATTACAATCTTATAATTCTTCAATTTATTAGTGAACACTTGCCACCATCGGCTCCGCTCACATGTGATCACCAAGGAACACCACCCCATACTACAACCACCAAAATCCCCAAAACCGCACCATGTCCTTGCACGAGGAACTATCAATAGGCCGAAAGTCAATTTTCCTCTGAGAAAGTTACTATTCATGATATTAACTGATTAGGCTGTTGTTAGTCAAGTGATATTTGTTAATGAGCATGACCAGCTAATCAACCACGCTTAAGCCATCTAGATAGATCCATTGTTTTGATGACCTCACAGCGCAAAGACAAATTGACTACCTCACAATACAGGCTTGGTTTTGTAAGAATATACAGCTTGCAGCGAGGTTTGACTCGATGACACTACGCAGGCAGCGGTCCTCTGCAAAGAGGTGCCTTAGACAAATTCACCTTTTGGAGCTTTGATCTTCAGATGCATGAAATCATTCTAATCAGAAAAATTAATTGTTATTTATCAACATCGGTTAGGTACAGTATTGTTGCACAAGACATTTTTAGTTAATAACATATCTGGTCATACAGAAGTTAACCTGAAGTTGCCTCTCAATTGGCTGTTTCATAAGATAACTGCACCGTACGTTACAGCGTGGCAGTGAATTTGGATCGGCATCATGACCATTTTCAAGCTGCTGTTACTTTCAGCTTACTTAAATTTTCATGTGCTGTCTCACGATAGGCTGCAAGAACGAGCATACAATCGGAGGTTCCATCGGACTACATGTGCCCGATCTTACTCAAAACTGTTCATGAGAAAATAACATCTGATATTATACGAGATGTACGTTTAAGCACTGTGTGACCTAGTAGTTTCTACCGTTGTCCTATAGGCTTAAACCGTTCCTGCGTCAGGCCCAAAAATCTGCTACTGCTATACCGGCCGATTTAAAGATAAGTATGACTCCCGCTTAACTGCTAAGGTTTAACAATTTTCTCTATAGTCCATCTGTTGTGTATCTTTTCCCTCTGTACTTCTTGTGGTATATTTACAGAGTGGTTTATGGTATCATGTGGAAAACTTTGTCCGCCCCTAGTTTTGCAGTTTTCATTTCCAACGACAACAGAAAGTGGTCAAATGCATCCAGCTTACCCTGCTTTTGAATTTTGTGGAGTCCTGAAAAGTAATTTTCTAAAGATGTAGAAGGCAACAAAATGTTATTTTCATTGTTTGTAAGTGGAAGAGGGAGGAAATTGAAATTTCAGGAAAGGCTCTTGATGTTGAATCTTCAATAGGACAAGGAACAGACAAGATACTCTGTTAATAGCACCAGACATGTTCTAAAAGCGAAAATTAAATAGAAGAAATCAATATATGCATTCTTTTAAATATTTATAGTGAAATTAAGAACCAAAACCTGTCTTAATCAAATGCACCTTGAGATGCTCCAACCTCATCCATGTACTTGTATGTTGCAAACTTTAGCATATATTAGGAGTGATGAAGCTGATTTCAAATTTCTATTTCTCATCATTAACAAGAAGCTCGTTATCTTCACATTAAAACAGTTGCTTTTTAAAGGAGGAGTAAATTGATAAACTTCGTAATCTTTGTAGTACGGCCACTCTTAGCTTACTTGTTCATCCAACCGTGCTGCGCTTCCAATACTGCACAGATGCTTTAATGTTTTAATACTCCATGGTTTCAGGTATTGTCTTGGAGATGTAGAATCTGCCTTCATCCGCTGCAACATCAAAGTCACAAGGTGAGAGGACCTTTTAAGCAGCTTTTCAAGCATGTCAAATGAAGACTCGTTTCTGTAATCTGTTGCTACATTTTTACGTATGCATATGAATCTACGTATTTTCATTTCAGTTCCTTGGAGATGAGTGGGTATCATCCTGAAATGGTTCGAAGTATCAGAGGCTTGTTGGAGGACCAAGAATAGCCGGAAGCATCAAGAAGGAATGATATGCTCCAGCAATTGAAAGCAATCATTACAATTGGAAGAGCTTTACACATTGTTCAGGGTTCTTCCAGGATGCTCATTGTCTCATGCATCGATGGACTAGTAGTGGTCCTCCTTACCGTATGCTAGCGAAGCTAGATAAACCTATATTGATCACCTAACTTTCTGCACTTGCTGCAAATTTTTGCTCTATGTGAGGTACTTTAGATCGGTAGTAAAGAGTAGCATAAATTCATCACATGGAACAACTTTTCAATGCAAGAATTCTGCCTCTGCCTCTTGTTCTCCCATTTTTCTTTTCTTTCTTTTGTTATCTTTGAATGGAGCAAGAGTTCCATCGGCTAGACAGTATCTCAAACGATTTTTACGCACGATTCGACTGCAATTGGGGGCGTAATATTGTATATTGAGTATCAAATTTCGGACTATCTAAGATGTCAACATTTGAGCTTTCTATAAAGTAGTGGTGTGGGTACTCCACTTATTGACTAGAAGTAAACATCCCGACAGTCAGGCTTCTCGCAAATTTCCAGCCGCCATGGCCCATGGACCACATGCAATCATAGCCATTGAGATTTGGGGAATCTGCGGGAAACCCACGTGACTGACAGCTGCGATTGGCCCCGGTCAACACCGATTATGATTACACTGTGTCAAGGCAAGAAATTCACCCCGGAATACACGCAGATGTATATACATCAACATCGCAGCGGCTCCCGCAGCATATATTGGCAGACAAAAACACTTGTCCAGAATCATTGAATGGTAGTGCACCCAAGGTCAATGATCGATGGTTGATGGTTTCTTATTCACTGAATGGTACACATTGTTGTGACTTGTCTGCAGAAATATAGAAAGAAAAGCCCTTCAATAGTGGCTTGGCTGCAGAAAAATCATTGTTGTGGCTTGTCTGCAGAAAAATCATTAGCACTTATCCTGTCTCTTTTCTTATCTTCCATTCCTCTCTACCCACTTCCGCTTTGGGTCATGAATCTTGTAAGCGGTAGTTTTGCAGAAAATATACTAATTAATTATATGTGTCCAATGGTGCGGAATTACTTAATTACTTATGTTAACTAATAAAAGAATAAAATTGTGAAATCTTTAAAACATGAATGCGTAGTTTCTTACATCTTAGTGATTGCGCACGAATTCATGTGGTTGCTTCGTCTGACCTTTGGAGTCTCCATGTAATTTCACAGACTAGCAGTCTACGTTTCAATCCATACCAGTCAGGTTTCTCACATGTCTCCACCTTTCATACAGGGAATGTTCTGCTCGGATTCCACGAACCACGCGCAATCATAATCATCAAAATTTGTGGGACCTGTGGATCGACGATTGTGATTGATCCGCGCGAATCGACCGTCCTGATTGATCTTATCCATGTGGGCCCGGATTGGAACGGGTCCTAGCAAGAATTTCGCCCGACAATACACGCTGATGGATAATCATCAGATTGACTCTCATGGGCATATGAGGACAAAGTCTTCTCCGGATGCAGAAAAGCGCTTCAATGACTACTAAGTCAAAAAAAGGGGGAGAAAAAAACAGAAGGAATGCGCTTCAAAAAGCTATAATTCACTTGACAGTTTCCATTAGCACTGATCCTGCCTCTTGTTTGTTGTTTCTTCTTTGCCTTGCTTCATATCTACCCGCTTCCTTGAGCTTTAAGTCATGAAACTTGTAAGCATTAGTTTTGCAGGGTTTCAATCATGCCACTTGCTTCTTGGTATTGCTCTTGCTGTATGTTTTAACCAAGTCTACTCCACCACCAATGAAATGGACAGACTTGCGCTCCTTGCATTTAAGGCCGGCATAAGCGGAGATCCTTTCGGCGTGCTCAACTCATGGAACAATTCCATTGGGCTTTGCCAGTGGTATGGCATTACGTGTGCCAAGAAGCATCAGAGGGTCATGGTCCTGGACTTGCAATCACAAGATCTCTCTGGATCAATTTCACCTCATATCGAAAACCTCGGCTTCTTACGGGAAATGTTGCTCCAAAACAATAGTTTCAATCAAGAAATTCCTCCACAACTCAGCCGGCTGCACCGCCTTCATGTCTTACAACTAGACAGCAATTCATTAGTTGGTGAAATTCCCATAAACATATCAGCTTGCTCTAACCTTGTTCACCTCATCCTTCCATTTAACCAGCTAACTGGAGAAATACCTACGGAAGTCGATTCATTATTGAAGTTACGGATATTTTCCGTGTATGGAAATAATCTCACTGGGAGTGTGCCTTCCTCCATTGGGAACTTATCTTCACTGGAGCAGCTATATTTAACCCAGAACAACTTGGGCTGGAGCATTCCCCAAGTTCTAGGCCACCTGACAAACCTGCAATACATTAGCTGCGCAAGAAACAGATTATCGGGTACAATTCCATTTTCATTACTCAATCTCTCTTCGCTAACTGTGTTTGATGCTGGATCCAACCAGATACAGGGGGCTCTTCCTGCAGGCATAGGCCTCAAACTCCCAAATCTTGAATTTCTTAGCGTTTTCCAGAACCAACTTGAGGGGTCGGTTCCTCCATCGATATCGAATTGCACAAAATTAGGTGTACTTCAACTTTGCAATAACAGATTTTCCGGGAAAGTACCTTCTTTGGAAAATTTGTACAAGCTTAGGTGGCTTCCTATCTATGGTAATTAGCTTGGAAGCGGAAAATCGGAAGACTTGAGCTTCCTTTGCTCGTTAACTAACAGCACCGAATTGCAGTACGTGGGCATTAACCGGAACAAGTTTGGTGGGGTGTTACCTAAATGTATAGGTAATTTATCCACCACTCTCACACAATTTCTTGTGAGTGAGAATCAAATATCTGGTGAGATTCCAAAAGAAGTTGGGAATTTTGTCAACTTGGAAGTATTGTTTATGAATCTCAATCGGCTTTCAGGTGTTCTCCCCCCAAATTTGGGGAATCTACAAAGTCTAGGGAAACTGCAATTAAGTGATAACAACCTGAGAGGGATTATCCCATCTTCTTTAGGAAATCTAACCAAGCCTATTGAACTATATCTTGGTGGGAACAACTTTCAAGGGCAAATTCCTTCACATCTATCAAACTGTCGATCTCTTGATTTGCTTGATCTGTCTAATAACAATCTCAGCGGTGCCATACCCCCACAGCTTATAGGTCTCTCATCATTAGCGATCATCTTGAACTTGTCTGGTAACCATTTGACTGGGGTTTTACCCACAGAAGTTGGCAACTTGAGGGCTTTGACTGCGTTGGACATCTCACACAATTTTTTGGTAGGTGAAATCCCAAGTAGTTTGGGTGAGTGCACTCAATTGACATCACTGAGAATGGGGGGCAACTTCTTCCATGGCTCCATTCCTCAATCAATCAGATCGCTAGGAGGCATTGAAGAACTAGATCTTTCATGCAACAAATTCTCAGGTCAAATTCCTGAATTCTTAGCAGTATTTCGTTTCTTGAAACTTCTAAATTTATCGTACAATAAGTTTGAAGGCATGTTACCATGTGAAGGAATCTTTAATAATTCTACCGGTACTTCTATTATTGGGAATAATGAGCTCTACGGCGGATTGCCAGAATTTCATCTCCCCAATTGCATATCCAAAAGCTCTAAGAGCCGAAAGATCAATATATCAATATTGTTCGCTTATGTTGCTTCTGGAGTACTTGGAATAGATCTTATTTTAGCTTTAATATATCTTCGTTGGTTGAAGAAGAAAACAAATGAATCGGTTTCAAGTTTGATGGATGATTCATATCCGGACATATCTTATGGAACACTCCTAAAAGCAACCGATGGTTTTTCTTCAGCGAATTTGATCGGTGTTGGAAGCTTAGGTTCTGTTTTCAAGGGGGTACTCAAGGATAATGGAACTGCTGTTGCCGTGAAGGCGCTTCATTTATTCCATCACAGTGCTATGAAGAGCTTCATAGTTGAGTGCGAGGCATTAAAGAATATCAAGCATCGAAATCTTTTGAAAATATTGACAATTTGCTCAAGTAGTGATTATCAAGGAAATGATTTTAAGGCCATAGTTTATGAATTCATGGATAATGGTAGCTTAGAAGAGTGGCTACACCCAAATGCAACATCATCTCATGGGAATGAACTTCCGAAAAAGTTGAATTTCATTAAGAGGATCAATATTGCAATTGGTGTTGCTTCTGCACTCGATTATCTTCATCACCAGTGCCATATCCCCATCATTCATTGTGATCTAAAGCCAAGCAATATCCTCTTAGATGCTGAGATGATCGCACATGTTAGCGACTTTGGATTGGCGAAATTCCTTCTTGGATCATCCCTTGGTGAAATTCCTTCTTGGATTGGTCACTTTGGTTATGCTCCCCCAGGTAATCTCTCTCTCTATCTCTCTCCAAGAAAGTTTATTTTCCTAAAAGTTATTGATGGGTCTTCCTATGTGAAGTTGATAGCTAATGATAACTCTTATATTCTTCTATATATTACATTCTGATTATACATGCTCCATGATCTAAATGTGTAATAGAATATGCAATGGGGTGCGAGATTTCAAGAGAAGGTGATGTCTACAGTTATGGCATTCTCTTGCTGGAGATGTTCACAGGATTGAGTCCCATTGGTAATACATTTAGAGACAATTTGACTCTTCATAGTTTTGTCATAGAAGCTTTGCCTGAATGAGTGCTCGAAATTACGGACAACTTTTTGCTTCAAGAAAGAGACAGCCATTTAGGTCCCTATAATCATCAGCATTGGATTTCCGAAAGCGATATCGTATTTCGAGAGTGTTTGGTTATGGTGTATAATATTGGAGTTGCTTGTTCAAACAAAGTGCCAAGAAGACGGATGAGCATCAGCGTAGTTGCGAGTTTGCTGCATCAAATTAGGGAGAAACTGTTTGCACCGGGTTTACATGGACAAGATGAACCGCTAACAGCTTACATTTAGCTGTTATACATTTAGTTTTCTTTGTGCAAATGAAAGTGGACAGGTAAAACCTATAACTGAAGAGAGAATAATGTTTTCCTATGTGTATTCTTGGCATATTTAAACTAGCACAAGGCCCGTGGTGCACAAACTTTCTTGAGTATTGTTGGTTTACTTGAAACTTTGTTCTGGTGCCATAGTATTTTAAAATGAATCTAAAATAAATTGCCTTGCTTCTTTTTTTTTTCTTTTCATTTGTATCATGCTCATTAAAATGAATGGCAATCAATCAGATATTGGAAATCTCATACAAAGGAAAGCTCGTTTTCTACAGATTGACCAGGTATGGCTCGCTGTTGCTTGATTTTTGCAGATTGACTAGGAAAGCCAATGTGAGGAATTGATCTCTGCTCCTAAAGCTATGTTCAGTTAGCTACATGCAATACCGTTGCTCTGGTGGGTGAAATAAGGATGTGTAGCTTTTGGATTCAGCATTCTAGCATGCATTAATTCGAGAACATGTATCGATACTTGCCAAGAATGCTTTATTAGAATAATTTAACCTGCATGTATTGGATTTAAAACTAAATTGACAAATTGACAAAAGGTTTAAGACTAAATTGACATAGTTGAAAGATTTAGGACAGAATTGACTGTCGTATAATAAATTTAGAACTTTTTAGGCAATTTTCCCCTCTATAATAGCTAACGTAAAATCTCATATAGAGTTATATTAGGTTGAACGATCATCGGATCTATGATGAATAAATACATGTCCACAGTGATATGAGATTTTAATTCTTCAGTGCTACTTCGTTTCGACATGGACCTCTGTATCCTAGCGTTTGGCTATATTACACGTGGCAATCCACGTCAACACTTTCGTCTATACTATAATCTAAAAGAGAAGACAACTATACTATAATCTAAAAGAGAAGATAAGCTTAAGCTTTGTTGCCAGCGGAGGACGTTTTTTTTTTTTTTGTTGGTTATTTCTCGGCCTTTTTTTTTAATTGCGGGGGGTGTGGGGGGTTTTGTAAGGGTTTTTAGTGCCCGATGCCGGGGTGGGGGGGGGGGGGGGGGGGGGGTGCCCCCCCCCCCCCCGGGGGCTTGGGGCCGGGCCCGCGGCCGGCGGGGCGGTTGGGGGGGGGCCGCCCGGGGGGGGGGGCCCCCCGGGCGGGGGGCGGGGGGGGGGGGGGCCCGGGGGCGGCCCAGAACCCCTTTGGGTTTTTGTTTGGGGGGTTTTGTGTTTTTTTTTTTTTTTTTTTTTTTTTTTTTTTTTTTTGTTTTTTTTTTTTTTTTTTTTTTTTTTTTTTTTTTTTTTTGTTTGGTGTGGAGTTGAAAAAGAAAACATATTTTATTTTTTTTTTGGGGAATATTTTTTTATGGTTGAAGATAGTTTTTTTTTTTTTTTTTTTTTTTTTTTTTTTTTGTGTTTTTTTTTTTTTTTTTCTCCCCACCCCCCCCCGGGACCAGGATTGCGAGAAAGGGGGTCGAACATCGACAAGCCCTAAGATTAATCAAATAAAAGCGCTTTATATTTTATCTTCTAATCTATCTACAGGTAAAAAAAAAACACTAGTAACTACATAGATACGTAATTTTTTAAATTTAATATTCATTATTTGCACGTCCGAGCTCCGCAAGAGTGCCATAGCGAAGTATCATCAATATTGCTAAAGGTTTGCACGTGCTTAATTACACGATCATGTAAAAACTAATTCAAAAGTGCAAAGATTACGCGATTAAATATATACATTTCTCCTTTTAAATAAACAAAAGAAGACTATGCATTATTCTTTTCATATAAATCTTTTAAAATATGAAGGAACAAATAGCTTGCAAAAGAAACTAGGGTCCCCCGACATGTAGCTATTGTACCGTTTCATTCTTAATTTTTGTTTTAAATAATATCACCGGTTCTACTTGGAAGGGTGACATGAAAATCAACCTTCACTTATGCATCAAACGTTTTCAGAATGAATTTTGAAATTGAAGAATTCCTTTGAGACGTGTGAACATGTAGAGGATGCGTTCTTTCCATGAAAAAGTAAAATACGATGAATGTTATTTATTGTTCTTCAGTTCACAAAATCGTTGGGTGCTCTTAAATTACTAGTTTTATGGGCCCCAAAAAGAAGATCAATTTGTTGCTCATCCACGTTGTTCTTTAAGTTTTTTGCGTCATATATTTTTGGGATAACAGCAGTGAAAGTCTTATAACTCGTTTTGACTCTTCAAATCCAACATGAGTTTGTTAAACCCATCTTAAGTGGGTTCTAATGATGTGCCTTCAACTATTCGGAATTAAAACATCATTTTCAACATGTACAAACGATTATTTAGACCCTTCATCAGATAAAGTGACTAAGGGTGTGTTTGTTTGAGTGGAAGTTGTTTTCGGAAAATTAGTTTTCTGGACTTTCACCTGTTTGGCTCGCCGAAAATCATCAGTTAATTGAAAACGCTTTCAGATCAATAAAAATATTTATGTATAAAATTATGAAAGTGAATTCCTAAATCTAAAAAAGTGAAAACACTTTTCGAAATTACTTTTCTTTCTTTCCCGGGTACCAACTCGTCTCTCTCTTCACTCTCTGTCTCTCTGCTGATACAATCTCTCGATTCAATCTTTTCACTCTCGAAATCAGTACAAAAGAGGCGATCGTCCTCCTCACCAGCAATGGTCAGGTTGTAGCTCCCTTGGGCAAAGGGATAGCTCTCCCCTATCATCACCATCGTGTCCCTCTAGCTCGGCACGAAGAGGACAAGGTAAGCGCCCTCCGTCAGTCCGCAGTGCATGAGCGCTTTGTTCCAAATTTGGATCTCGGGGATGGAAATGAAGTTTGCTTGCGGCGACGCTTTCTTCGTGAGGATGTTGAGGAGTTTGGACGGTTCGAGCTGAGTCAGGTCGAGATCAAAGAGGTTGCGATTGAAGGAGAGCAAAGCAAAGGACAAATCCCTACTCGGCAACTTGAGCTTGTCATCGGAGGCCGCGACGGCGTCGGAGACGGAGAAGTTTGTCCATGTCGAGGGTGTGAGGCTCGACGAGGCCGTTTAAGTATTGGGGATATTTGGTGAAGATGTATTGTTCAAAGTCCTGCATTTTGCTTGGCGTGATGGGGCTCGACTGTCTTAGGTCGAGCCCGCGGAGTGTGGATATGGCTTTGATGTAATCGACGAGGAGGGAGACGGTATCGATCTAGGGGACGACGAGGCGGGAGCACTCGCAGACAGAGGGGCAGAGGATGAGGGTTTCGACTCGGAGAAGATGATTAGGAGGAGCACGGGAAGCAAATCGAGTCCAATGACTTACGAGATAAATATTTTCAAATAAGATCCAAACACCTTTCAGTCACAAATGACCGGACAAAGGAAAACTAACAATTCCTAGAAAATTATTTACCGTAATGCATTTTCCTTTATCAAGGAGATTTCCCCCAAACAAACGCATTACAAGTTTTGTTCACGACATCCTTCCCTTCGGCCGCTTCGATCAATATTTCGTTCAATAAATTCGACGGGATTTTGCTTTTCGCCTTCTCCGTCAAACTCTACCTTATTGGCCTCTTTAATTGTTTTTGGCAATTTGCAAACCTAAATTTGTTAATAAGGTACGCATTATAATTCTCCACAATCCAAAGTCGTCCCTCACACCGAATTTCTCAATATCTACTTTCTCTCCTAACATAATTGCATCAATAGAATTTCCAAACAATAATTACACAAGCAAAAACTCCAAATCAACTATAGAAACCCCAACCTTAGCTTTGAGACCAATAATTGTGAAAAATAACACAAATATTCACGGATCTTACAATACATGCTTAACGCGAGAAAGAGAAAATTACCAGAGAAATCAGTGACAAAAAAAATAAAAAGAATTACAAATTTATATGGTTTGATCGAGTATCGTAACTACTGCACGGGGAGAACTAGTTGCAAGATATCCACTATGAATCCAAAGAATAGAAAGTTTACAATTGCTCAATTACTCAAGTATTTCTCAATCGTAAATTACACACAAAGCAAACCCGCAAGTATTATCTTACAATCTCCCACAAAAAATTCACTCGAAAAACTCACAGAGAGAATCTGATACTCCTCTTATTTGCTATGTTATATCTAATATCAAAGTAGAATTTTATCTTATATACGAGTGTGCGCGCATATGTATTTAATATTCGTATTCAAAAAGAAAACCCAATTTAAGAAATCTAGTCAAAGTAGAAAATGTATTCGAACTCAAAACACATTCTCGCCATTAAGCTTGCTATCCAGCAGGTTTCAAGGGCTAGGCAGCGAGGTCTTAATTGTTAGCGTGAGCTGTCTTCTAGAGCCAAAATAGGAAAGTTCTTATTGTTTTATACTCTTTCTATGTATATCCCCTGATTTGTAGGTCAATTAGGGTTGATTCTTTTTCTTTGTATATATATGTACTTATAGCCTTGTAAACGGAGGCCGGAATAAAGAAATCACAGAAAAAATTTTAGAATTCTTTATTTTTCTACATGGTATTAGAACCACTGATCAAGGGACTCTATACTCGATCCGATCAATCAGACTCCATTGCCGCGACCTTCGTCACTGCTCCGACCACATTTCTTGAAGATTGCCACAACCGTGCTGCATCACCCTATGGCAGACACAAACTCGACTGGCGATGTTCTTCCCTTGGTAGCACAAGAGGGAACTTCAAATATTGATGCTCTTATCGAGCGTTTGACCGAGGTCCTATCCCAACATGTCCCACA